GCGGAGGGGGCGGTGCGTTGAGGTGGGATGACGCGGAGGTGCAGAAAACGCAAGCGGTGGCCGCGGCGTCGAGGGCCGCAGAAGGCAGCGGCGCGGGCGGGGAGGAAGGTGCCCCGGGGGGTTGTGGCGGCCAAGAAAGCAACAGCGTCAAGTGTGCGGAGATGGAGGGGAGGGCTTGCGGAGAACGGGTTGAACGCGGGACAGCGTAGCGTCGTTGAGAAGGTGGCAGATCGCGTGTTGGCGCGAGAACTCGGGAGGTCCGCGAGCGGCAAGAAAACAGGCCAGAGCGGTTCTGATATGCAGCCCTTCGTGTGGATGTTGCATGGTGGCCCGGGGACTGGGAAGAGTTTCGTCATGAACAAGATCCGGAAGGAGCTGTTCGAAAAAGAGCTGGGGTGGACGCGCGGCATAGATTTCCAGGCGGCAGCGTTGCAGGCTACAAACGCGTCAGCTCTCGACGGGAATACGATTCACAGTGCATTTGGGCTCGGCGTGAACAAAACGAAAGAGAAGGACGCGGCGGGCGATGCCAACGCAGAGACAAAGAAGAAAACGAAGAAAGAGCAAGCAGCGCAGCGCATGTCACAGTGGAAGTGGCTGATTGTGGACGAGGTGAGCTTGGTCAGCGCGAACTTCATTGCAGAGCTAGACTCACACTTGCGGTCGTGCATGTCAGCTGCAAGCGACGCGAAGGTAGGTGAAGACGGCGTCGCCAGGCCCTTCGGGGGCGTGAATGTGCTGTTCTGCGGGGATGTCTATCAATTGGAGCCGCCATCTGGGACAGCCATTAATGCGCTTCCCACGTCGTATTTGAAAAAAGCGAGGAAATACGCGCCGGGTGCCACAGAGGACCACGGACAGTATATCTTTTGGGGAGCGGGCGGCGATGGCGCAGTGCAGGGAATGACGGAGTTGACGGAGTGCAAGCGCGTGGAAGACCAGGACGATTGGTTTCTTGGAGTGCAGGGCGAGTTTCGCCGAGGAAAGTTGTCTGAACGCACGCGCAATTTCTTGCGTGGCAGACCGACGGATGTTCCGGGGTCGTGGGTGAACGGGGCACCGGCGTGCGGGAAAACGCGCTGTGTCGAAGACAGAGATGCAATTGCGATGCGCAACGAGTTAGAGTGCGAGGCTTGCAAAAGTGAGCGGGACAAGAGGAAGCTCGTCGCGACGTCGGCAGAAGACGCGCGGTTTCGGGGGGAGAAATTTGTAGAAGTTGTCGCCATTTATGCGAACCAGGACATTCGTTGCCACGTCGGGGAGCAGAGAGCTGTGCAGTGGGCCAAAGAGCGAGGAGAACAGTTGCTCTGGGTCGCAGCCAGGGACCGCCCTTGCCATGGGGGGGAACAGGGGCGGCCGTACACGGTGGAGGATAAGGTACGTTGGTTGGGTACCACGAGAAGGAGTGTGCAAGCCTGCCCGGGTGGCTGCCACTGGCCAAAGGGATGCCCGTGGCTTTGGGAGATCACTTGGATCGATCAAAGAAGAAGCTCCTGCGGGGGCGTACAGCGACGATCCATGGATGGGCGTTGCACGAGGACGAGGTCACTGGGGATGAAGACGAGGAAGTGTTGTTGCATCTACCGAGAGTGATAGTGTTGAGCTTCCATGCGAAGGAGTGGCACCTGCCAGGGTGGGGGCCAGGGCTGCATCCGATCTTCCCATCGAAAGGGCGGCAATGGTTCTTGGACGGGCATCGGAAACATCCAGTGTTGAATGTGAAGCGCACGCAGTTTATGATAACCCCGTCTTTGGCAGCGACGGCGCACTCTGCGTAGGGCCGGACCATGGCCGCAGTGATAGCTGACCTTGAAAGAGGGCGCGGCGTGAGTTGGATGTCCAGCTACGTTGCCGTCGCGCGCGCGCGCAGGCGACAGGACCTTCTGATTTTCCGGCCTTTTGACAGGAGACCGCACAACGCAGGTGAGATGGAGGGCGCGAAAAAACTGCTGCAGGTGCTACGAGGGGAGATCTTCGATTGGGATGAATGGGGGGCGGAACTAATGCCGCGAGACCGGTGCCAGCGCTGCCGGCGGAGGTTTTTGGTAGAGGCGTTCACGAAGTACGAGTTCCAGAGGAAGGACAGACCGGCGTTCTGCAAAGAACGCACGGAGGAGATGAAAAACGCAGGTGCAAAATGGTGCACAACGTGCAGTGGGCGGGCAATGAGAGCAGAGGGCGACGACGCGGCACTGCAAGGTAGCGGTCGGAACGCGGACGCGGCGCTCGAAAACGGGGGGACGAAAAGGATCAGGACAATGTACTGCGCAAGGTGCAGGGATGTCAAGGCGAAACAGAGCACGCGCACTGGCAGCGCGAAGTGGAACGAGAGTGTTGGAACAGCGCGGTGTTCGAACGATAAGTGCCTGTCGCTGTATGACGACAAGGCGGAGATGTCGGAATCTCAGAAGAAGCAGAACGCAGCGGGCCAGAGGTTGTGTCGGAAATGTGCGGGAGAACGTCAGAGGGCGTCGAATAATAAAAAAAACGCGTGGTCACATTGCGGTGTTCCAACGGCGGCTGCCTGTCGGATTCCAAGAGGGGGCGGGGATGTCCGAAGCTCAGAAGAAGCACAATGCTGCGGGCAGAGGACTCTGTCGGAAATGCGCGGAAGAACGAGAGAAAGAGGTACGACGGGGGAATGCGGAGGCAGCGAATCGCAAACGGAAAGCCGAGGCGGACGCGAAGGCACTGACGCGCGCGGCGTGCGGTGGAGCGTTCTCAGATACGAGACACTTGAAGCCGACGCAAGTGGAACATCATAGAAAGGCGAAAGGAACCAAAGTGGTGTGCAGAGGCTGCGAGGAACTCGGGTTCAACGCGCGCAGTTACCAAGGGTATCAGTGCACCGGCGCATGCAAGAGGAGACTACCGAAGTCGGCGTTCCCCGACCCGCACAATGTCCCGCGCGACGCAAAGAAGGGCACTCTGAAGTGCAAGACATGCACATGATGCCCAATCGGGCGCGCGTGCTGGGGAGAAAAAGGAGGACGGGGAGAGAATGATGGGGGGTGAGGCGGAGAATGGGGGGGAGAAGCATCGAAGAGGATGAGGTGAACCGGGGCAGGAAGAGGAGGAGGGGGACGACGAGGAGGTGGCGGAGGAGGAAGAGGAGGGGGGGCGCTGAGATCAGGCTCTGGGTTATGGGATGTGGGGTAGAGGCTTGTGGTATGTGTATGGGGAAGGAGGAGGCAAGGGAGGAGGGGGAGGGGGACGCGGAGACAAGGTGCTGGGTCATGGGTTATGAGTTAGAGGCTTCAAGTATGTGTATAGGGATCTCGCGGCACGCCTCTCGGGGGCTCGAGGAGTGCAGTTTTGAAGCCACTGGGGGGCCGTTTCGGGGCCTCTGGGGGACTTCCACGAAGGCGCTGCAGCGCGTCGGGCAGCGCGCGAATGCTGTGGACAGTGGGGAGGAACAAAGCAGGAGACGGAGATGACGGGGGAGGAGGAGGAGGAGGAGGAGGAGGAAAAGAAAGGGTAGGAGGAAGAGGAGGACGAGGACAAGTGAGGATCTTGTCGTGGATTCTGAGAAGGATATTTCTCGAATGGCCCGAGGCGCGCCCCGCGAATTCCGCTGCCGTGCCGGGGTTCGTGCTGGGATCTCGTGGTCGGCCTCTCGGATACCTCAAGTGGTACCGACCAAGTACCACGCGATGTACGTCGTCCGTGTGCCTCAAATGGTACCGCCCATAGTTTTGAGGCCCTTTGGGGGCTATTTTGGGCCTCTTGGGTGCCTCTTTTGGGCCTCTTGGGGCCTGCTTGGGGGCCTCTTGGGTTTTTTTGGGGGGCCTCTTGGGGGACCTCTTGGGGCTTCCTGGGGGCGCCTGGGGGCCGAAACCTCGAAATGAGATTTGTTTCCCCCCTCTTGGCCCCCTCTTGGGCCCGTCTTGGGGCCCTCTTGGGGCGTCTTCGGCGCCTCTAGGGCCGTCTTGGGGCCATCTTGGGCCGTCTTGGGGCCATCTTGGGGGCCTCTTGAACCGTTTCGGGGCGGTATTCAGGGCCTCGGGGGCCGTGTTGGAGCGTCGGAAAGCCGAAAAGACGAAAAGGCAACAAACACTTTAAAACATAATGGAAATCACCAGTTTTAGCATCTCGGGGCCCTCTTGGGAGGCTTATGTGGGACCTCCGGGGCCGTGTTGGAGGCCTCGGGGCCCGACTTGAGGCCATCTTGGGCGTTTTCGAGCGCCCAATTGGCGTCTCGGGGGCCTCGTGGCCCGTCTTGGAGGCCACTTGGGGCCTTCTGGGCCCGTCTTGGGGCCCTCTTGGGCCCGAAAATGCTCCGTGAGTCGCTCGTGCCGGGCCGGGGGGGGGGGGCCATCAGGGGGGGGTCAAATCGCCGGCTTGGGGGTCCCAGGGGGGGACTAGAGGGGGGGAACTATCTCACACGCCTAGAGACCCACAAGGGGTCGGCGGATTCCGATTGGCGCATCGCGCAACAGCATGGGGGGCTGGGGGGTAGGGTCCGACGTCGAGCCCCCGCGCGCGGCGATTTTTCGCCCAGCGGTTCCTCGCAAAGAATCTGCCCCTCCGGGCCACTCCCCGGGACAACCCCCTGGGAGGAGGGGGGCGGGGGGCGCGGCATGGTAGGAAAGGGGCTGGCGGGAGGGCGGGGGTGGGGGAGAGGGGGAAAGATGGTAGGACAGGGCCGCCGCATATTGTATAGGTGGGGAGATTCGAAGGATTATTGGGACGAGCGTCTTGGGCGGGACGGCAGTTTGGGTGGAGGGCGGTGCCTGAGGCCACGCCAGGCTGGTCTCCCCATTGGCCCGCTCCATGCCCCCCGTCGAGCCCCCGGGGCAGAGAGATGAATCGAGCTCGCCACTCTCTTTTCCCGCCGGTGGGCGGCCCCACAGTGCAGCTGGTCCTGGGTCAACCACCGAGCGTTGAATTGGCAGTTCATCGCACACAGGGCCTCCGCAGATGTTCGTGTTCTCTTAGGTGCGGACACATGTATCAGCGGCTTGTTGTCGTGAGTCCTGCGCCGTCTGTTCCTCCCACAGGTGGCCTGACACCGAGGAGCTCGAGGGCAACTTCCTCACCTATGGGTGGGTGCTAGTGGCCAACACTTTCTGCAGGCAGTTTGTGCTGCAGGTCTCGGCCATCTGGTCTTCGGCGTTCCCCCCGCTGGGTGCCGCGAGTCAGTCAGTCTTCTTCGTGATTAACTACTTTGGCATAATCCTGTTCCGCCCGTACCTGTCACGGATGGTTAACGTCCAGGATCGGGCATGTGGAGGTTCATCCCAAGACCCCAATCGTGTAGGGTAGGCAAGTGTTACGTTTAGTAGGTAGGAGGGGCCTCGTTTGGAGTGGAGGCGCTGTCACAGTGCAAAGACAATAACGTGATCCACGTGATTTTCTGCGCTGCTCCAGGAAGGGCTTCTCATCGGTTGCCTGGCGGTCATGACATTCGTAGCGTTCTTCCGCGAGCTCTTGATGGAGATGGAAAGGGCACAGGACCACCCTCGCACGATCGCCATGACCTCAATGGCTATCAACGTCCTCGTGGTCGACTGGGCTGGACAACGCAGATGTTCCTCTCGCTTATCTAAAACGTTTGTTGGCACGGCACCTTCTCCCCCATTCCCCCCGTGGTATAGATAGCGCAATTGGGGTGTCGCCATATGCGACCTCCAAAAGCTTCTTTGGAGGTGTGTGGAGTGCCCAGATGGCCTTCAGGGGCCGTCGCTGTTGATTCAAACCAGTGGCGATTTGCGAGTCTGGCAGAGAACCTCAATAAGACATAGTTGTCAGGATGGAATGATTCGGAAGTCTCAATGGGCTTCGAATGAGCTTTCTCAGACCCGCTGGGGGCTTCTTTCCTGGGATAGGGATGCAATTGCAGTGCTGTCCGCAGGTCACGCCCCCCCCGTCTGTCTGTGTGTGTGTGCGGGTGTTTGTTCTTGTGTATGTGTGTGTGTGTGAGTCTGCCACTGCAGCCACTTGCACCTGCCATTCGCTTTGTGTTCCACCCCCCCCTTGTGTCTTGCCTTCCCAGTCACAGTCCCCCCCCCTGCCCACCCTCCTCCCTCTGGCGGCTCCCCCCCCGCGAGTTATGCTGCGTTGTCACCGATGGGTGTCTTTGGCATGGCCCCGCTGCGAGAGCTGGGCCTCTCCTCCTTCTTTCCCTCCCCCCTAAACTCTGACTCCGCTGCGTCGCTGCGCGCGTGGCCGCGACGCTAAACATTGTAGGGACGGGGCGAGAAAGGGCGGTACGAGGCATATTCGGGCGTATGGGGTCAGTTATGGATGCGAGTGGTCGCGCGGAAGCGGCCGGGTTAGAGGGGACCCCTGCTCCGAGGGGGTGGGTCTGTGAGGCGGCTGACTTTTTGGGCAGGCGTTGGCCCGCTCCAGTATGAAGTTGCCCGCGTTGCTGCAGAAACAGGCCCTGGCGAGGATGCGGAAGTATGGGGAGCTCACGCGAACGCTACGTCATTACAGTCACAACTTATAGGAAGGACGCACGGTTGTCCTTCGGTTACCCTTGCGTTTTTGCCTTTGCGGCCCGTCCTTCGCGGTTTTCATTGGTCAGCCTTTCAGGACGTTGGCAGCCCGCTGTCCAGAATTGCCAACTTCGGCGTCCAAGGCCCTTGCGTCCTTACCACCCATCCTTACCATGGATTTGGATAGGGAGTGTTCGTTATGAGCGTGGGTGTGCAAGGGGTCGGGGCCGTGCAGTAAGGAAAGGATGACTTAGGCATCTAGGACAGGATGACTGTCATGACTGAGCTTTAGTGCCACTCGTACGTTTCGAGTGTGTGTTTGTGGGTGTGTGCTTGCGTGCGTGCGTGATAGTATACATGTGTGTATACATATAGTTATATATATATGTATATATATATATATATTGTAGTGGCCTTCGGCCAGTGCCGCCGATCCGGGGCGCTCCGACTGATGTGATCCTTCTTCGCCCTCGTCCCTCCTCTCTTTTTCCCTCCCCTCCTCTCACTCAGCATTTATCCAGTGGCCGTCGGCCTATCCCGCCACCGTACGTGGGTGGTGGGTCAGAGGCCTCATGGATGCTGGTTGGGATCTCGTGGTTGGCTGGGACTTCTGGGGGCCTCTTGGGCGCCTCTTGGGGCTTCTTGGGGGCCTCTTGGGCCTCTTGGCGCCACTAGAGGGCCTCTTGGGGGTCTCTTGAGAGCCTCTTGGGGCTTCTTGGGGGCCTCTTCTGCGCCCCTTGGGGCCTCTTGAAGGCCTCCTCGGAACCTCTTGGTGCGGGAGGGGTGGTACTCGAGTTCGGAACCCCCTCGGAGGCCACGATCCTTGTGAGGGGTGTCAAAAAACGCATCCGCCGGAAACTCGCCCCCCCCCCCCCCCCCCCCCCTTCCCCGGCAGAGCCACCCCGGCAACCCCCCCAGAGGCTGAGGCTCAGCCTCGAGGCTGTAGCTGAGACTCCTTGAAACCCACACGCCAGATCGGCGGATATAGTTATTCCCTACCTAGGCTCTGCCTAGAAGGGTTCTTATTCTGAGGCTTAAGGGGCTGGGCAGTGGAACCCGC